CTTATTATTTATATTGTCTTCAGGGCATGCACACCAGATACAAAGTTGGATTTGCTTCATTTGTCACCAAGGTTTGAAAACAGAACAGAGAAGACAGACATCTTCAGGAACAGTGTGTAAGATTACAAGTAGTTATTTTAAGGAATAGGAATTTGTTGTTACGTGATTTGGGGAAACAAGCATGACTTTCCATATTATCTTTAAACATATACTTAATATATTTAAAATATACTTAATGTAGAAGCGATAAACAGCAATAGCCACAACTGAAGTCAATAGGAGATGTTATATGAACATATTAAGTGTAACACAGCACTAAGAACTAAGAACACTCGGGTCAAAGTACCGACAAATTGTAGCACCCAATGAAGATGTTGACACTGATCTCTTAGGCCTTCCCTCCTCAATGCAGTGCTTGTTAAACACTTCATTATATCTTGTGACAAATACTGTGAAAGACATCATAAGGACTGTTAATCAGTCTACTTGTTCTACACTTGGGCACATGGAGCTGAAAAATGAAGACACCCGGGCTTCAGAAGATAGCTACAGGGCTGGGCGTGTACGTTCAGAATGGTAGCAACAGCAGGAACAGTGGCAGACTAAGCATGCTCTGGAATAGTTTGTATAGTCACCATCATTAAATACAGTAACTTGAGGACCACTACATTAAACTGTTTAAAAAAAATAAAAGAAAAATAGAAAATCCTATCTTCGAGCTCCTATAAAAGCTTTTAACCATTACATATATGTAATGGTTAATACATTACATATGTACCTTATGCTATTTTTTTTTAATTTCAGTAAGTGGATCTGCAGTGCTGAGTCCATGCCTTTCAAGTCCCTAGTGCAGATGGCCCAAATATGGATTGAGGATATATCTGTGCCTTTGCTTTTGGCACTGTTTTAGTTGATTGGAATCATCTCACTCATTTGTCTGCACATGTAGAAAAATATATTCTCACTGAGTGCAGCAGTACTTAAAATCATGAGATGAATATTAAGAAATGCCAAAGTTACTTCCACATGCTGTTAACAAACCCAGATTTAATAAACCATTTATAGTACACAACAAGACAGACTCCATTTGATATGTGATGTGCAGAAGAGATACAGCTGACTTTACCATTAGCACATCAGCTAGACCCCAATTTAACAGACTCATTAATGTAATTAAAAACGATCAGGTAGCAAAAGTCAAACATTTGTAAAAGACATTTGTAAAAATTCCCAGAAGAATTCTGCAGAATTAAAATCCTAATCTTCCCGTCATGGATCTCCTGTGAAGAACCTTGCCCATAGTAATTGAATATTCATGCTAGTAGGATGCCTTACCTACAGCGGGTGGTAAGTGGGAAAACAGACACCCCTGTCCTACAAAGCACGTGCACTTTGTATTACTGCTGAAGTGGCAGCTGCTAAGATACTGAAGAACAATCTCCACTGTTACTCCTAGAGATTTGCCACTGCTTTTAGAAACAGTTTTTATTAAATAAGACTAAAAGCAGCTGCTTTTTCAGTATTAAAAGGAGAAGACTGTCCCAATGGTCTTCCCTTTTGTAGGCAAAGAACAGGAAGAGAAAGAGTCTCCTGTTTGTAACAGACAGAATAAATCTATTCTCTGGCATGGAAAGAGAATTATCCAAGGACTACGCAAACAAAATTTCCCATTTCATTTTCAGTGTAGCAGCACACCTTCCACTTCCTACCATACCTCTTGACCCTTTTGCGTTGAAATCCTCACAGAAATATTCTTACTCAAGCTATCCCTCTCCTATTGCAGGCTGTTTTGATGCCTTGAGTGTATGCACGTGCTCAGCAGATGACAAGAGGGTTCCCACCCACCCCCACTAGTAGAGCAGGACAGTCTGTCCTTAAATTAACTACAAGAACTTCTGAACCCATTTTACAGAACTATACTCCAGGCTGTAAATCCCGAGCTTGGGGGATGGCAGACCTCAAGAAAGACCGTTTAAATTACAAAATTCTTGCATGTTCCCTCTAACTCAGAATACTTTATGATTCTACAATTGTAGACATTGCAGTTCCAGACCTAAACCACCAGCTGTTAAGTAACAAATTGTTCCCAAATGTCTCCTGTTCTTAATCCCAAAAGGACTTGCAAAAGACATTAATGGAGGAAAAAAAAAACAAACAAAAAAACCAAACCAAAAAGAAACCAGGAAAAGTGTTGAAGACCCATTTCTGAATTACGCTAACACTTGTCACTTCTCTAATTCACAGAAAGAACTCAAATTCTTCCTCCCTCCATAGAAGGCAGCACTTCTATATGCCTTTCTAAAATGGCCAAACCCCAAGTTGCAAAGTTCCAATTCTCAGAGCAAATATTAATTCATGATCATTTCCAAGTTCAGACAGCTATTAGGGCCCGCTAGAGATCTAAAGTGATCAAATGAAGACCCGACAAGACACATCATCTTGAAAATGTTTCTTCGCATGCCAACAGCTCAGGAAGCAATTCAATTATCTGCACTTTACAAAAGTACCCAAAGCTGGATACTTAAAGCCTAATCAAAGTTATTAGATATTTCAAATAGTAAAACAAACTCAGTTAAATTAAGGTTTCCAAAAGCTGAATTTATAATACAAACATTCTTTCCATGAGAAGCCTACAAAATTAAAGCTTCTCCTCACCAAGGCTTTCCTAAGTAGCTACACTTTAATGCGTCCAATTAGTTTCAAGAAACTTCATTTCAGGTTCATTTTAATAATTCAAGAAAGTCTTCTTCTACTGTAGTTATAATGGAGTGTCACCAACTCTACTTGAATATGGTACCTGAACACTTAACAGGAGTTTCTCTGATTCTAATTCAGCCAGCAGCATCTTGTTGAATGAAATGTATACCATATTCAACAAGGAGTCAAAGCTGCCTCTATAGATTTAATTAAAATTGAAGTTTCTTTAATCACAAATTTGTGTCTTTGGAATTAAACTCCCAAATTAACATACAAAATTTAACATTCCTTTTAACTTTTTACAAAGCAGAGCATAAAAATCAAGGCTGGCTCTTGCCAGAGAATTAAGTGACAGTTATTAAGAAAGGAAAATACGTTACTTGTTGGGTCTGACTTCAGCATTAGGTGAATAAAGTTGATTTTTGCCCTTAAATAGTTATCAGTATATCAGAGTAAATGCTTGATCACTCTTAGGTATCTGATTATCCAGAACACTAGCTAAGCACTCTTAACAAGATAGTCAAGAGTTACATACATGGTTACATTCAAGTTCTTATCACATTTTCAAAAAGAAACTTAAATAGCAAAAATAAGATTTAAGCTCAGCTGTGATAGCCTTTGACAACATCTCCATTACAGCAAGTTTTAGCATTAGGATACGCACCCAAGATTCAGGTGTTTGAGCTTCTGAAGGCTGCTAATCTGTGTAGGCAGCTCCTCAATCTGGTTGTTGAAAAAGTTGAGCACTTCTATGTTTCTCAGGTCTGCGATGTTTGCTGGCACAGCTGTGAGAAAGTTTTCACAGTAAGAGACTGCAGTTAGGGCAAGCTACACAGACTACAGGCTCCACTAGCACCTGTCTTCTGTTGTTTGTATAGATGTTGTTTCTACCCAGCTGCTAAGAGCTACCTGCAATTAAAGGAATGCCTGTATTAAAGAAGCTTCCTTTAGCACCAGCTCTCCTTACCGACACGAATCACTTGGTACTCTTCAGAAGATTACAGCTATTCCTATTGACCAGAGTACCTTACAGAAAAGCCACAACAGAGAAACAAGCACAACAAACTCTCTCACGGACCTGCTGATTGCTCAAATAATCTCACATCCAAGTTCCTATCTGCTAATATTCAACAGCGATTACAGAAATTTAACTTCAGCCCTAAAAGATGAACAGTTTAGCCAAGCCAGTTACTGACTACCTCCACTGAGTGAGTATCCGATCAATGCACATACATGGTTACATTCAATTGCACACAAATCAATACCTGGTAATTTAGAAACATGAACAGTAAGGCAGAAGGATGTGCCTGTGCAGATGAGGTTAAAACACTCCCCAGATTTGCATCTTCTCCCCCTATAACTAAAGTTTACATAAAAGGAGGCTGACAGACAGCCTGCACTGAAGCTTGCACTGGTGTTCAATATTCACCTTGGCTCAGTCTTAATTAAAACTGCAGCAGGATCCCATAGAACACACATTTAAATAATTGGAAGATTTTATGAGGCCATGATTTGCATTTATTTGGTGGCATGAGGCAATCTCAGTCTTAAAATGGAATCAATAATGTTTACAAAGCAGACCATTATAGTGCGTCACATCTAGTAGATTATAAGTGTAATTACATTGTTCACAATAATGGGATTCCCTAACAAACATTTTAATTATACTACATAAATATTACTATGGAGGGTCATATTCATCACAGGAGATTTTTAACATACTTTTTATTAAGTCATTAAGGCAAATCTTAATATTTAAAAGCCTTCCCTTTGTGGTATATTTCAACTGGTCCATGCGTATCCATAACTCAGCAATGGCAAGAATTAAGCATCTTCAGAAAGGCAAGGGTAATGTACTGCTACCATTGTTTTAAATTATTCCCTAACAGAAGTTAACTAAGGATTTTAATTGACATAATTCAGCTGCTTCCAGCCTCAATATTTCAAAAGAACAGTAATTACCACCATTAAAATGTTTTCCTTTCAGAAATTAGACTTTATAATTTGACTTTGATGAGACATAATGGACTGGCAAACCATTTCTGCTCTTTTCAAAGAGATGCTACATTCATGCAAGATTAGGGAACAGACACATTAGCAAATACAGGTTTTAAGTTTAGTCCCAAAGCCTAAGCAACTCAGAGATCAAGTGCAGTTCTCCTTCAGTTTTACTGTTGATACAGTTAATAACAACTTTCACCTTTTTGACAGCATAAAAGATTACACTATCCTAGAGAAATCAGTTCAATCTAACACCACAAGTTATGCTAAATGTAATGCAAAGCTAGGCTACAGGAACACTGAAACCACTTCAAGTTCAGCAGACAAGCCTTACCAAACCTAACTTCACTGGGGCAAGTCAGTTCTACATTTCAACTATTCAGGCTAAAAACCATCACAAAACACTAGAAAAATGATCTCAAAAGTCAACCAAAAGCATGCTTGGCATCAAGATCAGTACTATCGTTATAAACACAGGGACAAGTACCCTCCCAGTGGCCTGGCAGAGTTACGGATTACCTCGAACCAATGATGCTGAGTTAGTAGATTTGCCTCTTCAAATACCTGTTCAAAATAGCTTGTTTCCCCCTTATAAATAATTTGAGCTTGCCTCTCATTTCTGACTTGGGCTATGAGATTCTGCAGAGGAGGAATCATTTCAAAGAAGAAGGTGAACAGCCCTCAAAAATAGAAGTCTTCATTTAACCAGTAAAACCCCACATGAAACTACCTGTGAAAAGACAATACCTAGATACTGAGACAGGAAGAAAATGGCTTCCCAAGATTTGCTCTTGCAGTCTGCACTTGTTCTGGAGGAACCTGTTTAAGTGGGTTACACACTGAAGAGTTTCAAATTATATCCACTCATCCCACTTGCAAACACGGGGGAAAACTTAACATCCAGTGGCTAGTTTATCAGAGATTTTTAATTTGGTTTCCTTTTGTCAGGGTATGGGTGTGAGTAAGTGTCCCTCGTGAACAAGAGCAGCTGTACCCTTGCCCAGTGGCTGCTAGGTATCCAATATATCTGTACAATTCCCACATACTGTTGTGAATCACTCTTAGGATACTACTATATTACACTTCCTCTTATTATTTCCTTCAAGCTATACTAAAAACTGCCTAGCTAAGCAGGTTATGGAAAAGACTATCATTTTAGCAAAGGATTTGGATGAAATACTTTGTGCCAGCCTTTTAAATCAAAAATAAAGCCCTTATCAACACACACACACACACACACACATATTAATTGGGTAGGGGGTAGAAGTATTTTGTGAGAAGGAAAATTGTGAGAGGGAAAACAGAAAGGTTGCTTGAGATTCGTGGCAGGGGAGAAAGGGCCTTTTTTCTGCCATGGCTTATTTTCTGATTCAACAATTTAGATTCATTCTGTATATGAAGGAATGCTCTATGGATTCTAAGAAGCAGAAGACTGAAATTAACTCCAGTGTTGCTCTCATAACTAAACTACACAGATTCAGTACTGTCATGTCAAGAGATGAGCAACACTCAAGAAAAGTTGATGAGGCATCATGTTCTTTCATCTCAGCCTTGCACGACTAAACATCCTTACTATCAACACACTGCTAAGTTGCAGAGTTCTTCACAGACTTACAGCAGACTGCCAAATACCAAGAAATTCAAGTTCTGGCAATTCTGAATTCCACTCGAGTCACCTTCGCATGATGAGCTGTGAGAATGAACTGTCAGCATCCTGGTTCCATTCACCCACATATTTACAGTAAGATCCGCAGTCTTAGCAACTCCTTTAAGACCATCTGCTGCCCAATGCCATTAACAACTAAACTCCTCCCCAGCAAATGCTAGTAAAAGTTTGCAGCCCAATGCTTTGCATTTTCCCGTGAAGCTTCAGTCACATCACAAAACCCCATTCATATTAAGCTTCACATTGCAAGACCAGACAAAGCTTTCTTCCCCTTGTTCAACACTGGGAATTGCATACAGAGATTCACCGTAACAGCTATAGACTTAATCTTGATTTCAAGAGCTTGGCTGAGAGGCAGAGCCTACAAGTTGCGCGTGAAGCAGCAAGAGATCTTTCTTCATGCTCCTGCAAATAAATATAGGCAACTTGTTATACTTCAAAGGATTTAAGAACAAACAGGCTCTTTTTCACCCTGACATTAGTGACAATTCTTCAGGAATGAAAATAGCTCTTAAGGGCAGCCTTTCACTCAAAGCATAACTTTATTCCTATGTAAGAGCAGCTATTCAGTAGTTCTGCTATGAGTTCCAAAACATTCATATGGTAAATTAAACAGCACTGTTCAGAACCTGTATAGCTCCACATCTAAGTGTCCTGGACCCAGATCTCAGTTTCTCTCCACACAGGGAGCCAGCAGCCATCACAAGACTACCTACTTGAAAGTCTGATGTTGCCCTCTGTTGGAGAATAAATACTGGGTTAGCTCCATCTTTTAGCTGAGCAAGCTACTGTGCTAGGAACATTTGTGTCAGTTAAAGCACCCTGGAGTAAAATTTATCTCAGATGTGACCCTTCCCAGTAAAGCAGGGAGTCAGAGGTTCTCTCGTCTTTGACTTGGGTTTCCATACAATTCCTCCAAGGTGGCAGAGCCCTTCACAGCTGAAAATGAGCCTGCTTTCTGGTAAGTCTCAATTTCTGAGAACGATCTCCCAGATCATTCTACAGAGCACTGGAAAACAGTGAAAAAAAAGAAACATCACAATTTTAGATGTAAACAAACTCAGGTGTTTGCAAGATTAAATCTCTCTTTGTTTTTCATCTATGAGATGAAGCACAGCCTGTTTTTTGGTGTTTTGGTTTTTTTTTTGTTTGTTTGTTTTTTGCATTTAGTATGCATTGACATTAATTCAAACATTTCTGAGAACTGTAGAAGACTGATCAAAATTTATATTTTACTTCTACCTTGTGAAGGAAAACAGCTCATACTGTTGATGAACTATCAGTTGGAGGAGGGAACTGAGTTAGTGAAAATACAAGCCATCAGGAGCAGAGTACATGATATGTAAACTGAGAGAAACATTTCAATTCATTTATATCTTAACACCGAATGTTCAAAATAAATATTTTCCCACAGCTGCTTGGAAAAGCAGCATCCATAACACCTGCCTATTCATAAAACTGTGAACCAAGTAATCTCTTCAATAAATGTTATTCAAAGGTTACAAAAACCTCCCATTTAATCCAACGGGTTTTGAATCAGACATCAACTTATAAGGATTTTAATTACTTAAGGTTATTTTCTTTGACGCTATCGTCCTTAGAAACTTCAAGCTGCAGAAACTCTTTTTTCCAGAATGCTTCTCTAGTTAATGAACTAATTAGGCAGCACCTAGGAACATGACATTAAGTAGAACCTTTAAAGGTTCTAAGGGAATATTTATCCAGAAGAGCTATTAAAATATAAATCTCTTTTCTGACAAGTAGCACCGAGTCTATGCCAGTTTCTCATTAAACCGTTCCATTTATAAGCAGGTCAAGAGTAATAGAGAGTAAAGAGAACTCTGCAGAACTTTGGGAGTGCCATAGTCTGGTGTAGATCTCAAGCAGCATTTTCTTGCCAAAAAGCAAGAATCTGCTTAAACCTACAAGGAAACCTTTGGGCCACAGCGTAACAAACCCCGTTCTGCAGAGCGTTGCTAATCCAGTTAGCTCCACAGGAACTTTGCATGAGTAAGGATCCCTTAGAGTAAAGGTCACAGACACATGAAATGTTACTCACATTTCACGGGGGAGGAAGAATTTCAAATACGAAATATATCATGCATTCCGTGCATCCAGTGCAACTGTACTCATAGAGCTGGAGTCAGGTTCAGATTAATTTAACAGGAATTCTGTTATACTGAGAGAAGCAATCAGCTTTACCAAAATGAAAGGGGAATTAACAGAGGGAGAACACAACAGTTTTCATTTTAAATATTCATGGGCATGCTGATATCATACTTGGCAGTTAACCGAAGAGAATCCTCATCCCAAGTGAAGCACTCAGTACTTAATTTACACATCATATAGTTCAAGTTTTCCTCTTTTGCCTTTCCTCCACACTCCTCCAAAGACGAATACCAACCTTCCAAGCACTAAAAACATTAAAAATGGACTGGTCTCCTTAATCTTCAGTTTTCCCAGAAACCAGCACGCTTCTTTTTTTGCAATTAACCACAGAAGCACTGCAGTTACGAAAACACACTTATGAGTACGTGCCACTGACGTGCTACTGTGCTAACAAAGCAATTTACCAATAAATGGTTTTAATTTAGAAGGCAGAGACTAAGGAAAAGTGCTGTGAGCACAAGAGAGGCTGGAAAAACACTGGGAAATAAGTCACATCTAGCATAACCACTACATTCCTGTCAGAAAATAATGCTTATGATGCACTTAAATGCTTTGAGAAAAATACTCAGAGCCAGGGAGGGAGGTTAGGAAGGGACTGCTAAATTGAAAACAAGTCATCTATCAGTAAAGAACTAAAGCCACAAAACCTTATTTTTGCTAGCTAATTTTATAGCACTAAGGGATACTATAAGCTGCGTGAGCACAGGTATGAAAGTGTGGATTTAACTATGATCCCTCATTTCTACACGTTATCTTGAAGAAAGCAAGATTAGCAAAGCTTTTTGAATTACTTTGACATGCAAGTACTCCAGAGGACCATGGCATTCCAGCTTTTAGCAGCTGTTTCATGAACAGTTCAGACAAAATGCTCTGCTGCGTGCAAAAACAAATACAGGCTGCATCACCTTGTTACAGGTCAGATCAGATCATACTTACACTCTGATAGCAAGGAACAGCTAAGAAAGAACCATAAGACAAGTATATAAAACTACATCCAGTTTCCCCCTCAATCCAGAGTACCTCTCCACACCTCCCTCCTTCAGTATTATCAACAACAAGAACCTATTCAACTTCTTCAATAGCAAATTCTTTAGGATGGTACAGAATTAAGCTCCTCAATGAAATCAGTTCATCTGTGCCAAATTCACTAGCTTTGAAAATGACAATTTCAAAATAGCTTATTTTGACCAAAAGATCTCTAACAATTTTACATTACAACTTGTAAAAACACATGGAGAAATATTGATGGTAACAGCCATTACAGATATTTTAAGCCACCAGGGGAGATGATAAGACAAAGAATCTGTACTGAAGCATCAGAAAACACTGAGACTTATGAAAAATGAGCTAATATATTTGCAGGTGCCTTTTAAAAAGAGGAACACGCAACAGTTTCAGAAGAGTTATGGCAGAAGTAAACAATATGTGCCCAGGGCTGCATTTAGTATGTACACTAACTCAGAACGCAAAGCCATTTCCATACATCACAAAATTTAACTATTTATGCTAGACCAGGAACCCTTCATGAGGCACTCCCACAGAACATTACAGAACAATAATCCTTCATAAATTCTTCTGCTTCATTCCCCAAAGCTACTTAAAAATCCAAGCTTCTATTATTTAAAGCTGAATTACTTTGCCATCTGTACTTTCTCTGAAACAAGGCTTTTTTTCAGGGGAAAGCAAAAAGCTAACAAGGTATTTAATCTAAACATTTGAGCAGAACTCAGATGTCACAAATGCAGTTTGGCATATGCACAAGGATCTCCTTTGCTTTCCTTCTCATCTCCTCCTGCGCACCGCATTCATAAAGACATTTCCCTTCAGAGATCTTTGTCCCAGAAATAGGAAGTATATCCAAACTGCATCTACAACTGGGGCAAGAGGCATAGTAACTTCAAGCACATTCCTAAACAGCACTGAGAATTCCCTGCATCAGGCAAAAACACTTTGGACACTGCCTTGCTTCCTCTACACTAATAACACACTTGCGTTTGGAGTGCACCATGTTAGCACAACAGTGTGGCACATGTCTCAAAAGCGAGTAGGGGAAGAAGTGACAAAGAGTATACAGGCATTTGGGAGACCCCACAGCACATTTCAGCAGTCTGGAGAACAAAACAGCTGGTGCATTTCAGTGCTGAGAGATGTGCAGTTGGTACCTGCCTCTATACCACCTCCAACACACGTGGGCACACAGCACAGCCTATGAAAGGTAACTTCTACAATAAACAGCCTGTTGTACAAGTGACAGAAAGGGAATTCAGCAGCAGTTTAAACTAGATCAAGGACACAGTCAAGAGGGTTAATAGCAATGAATTGACAAACTTTGTGCTGATAAAACATAGCAATTTAGAAAGAGATGGTAGAGCAAGGCAACAATAAGCAGTATGAGCTGCAAGAAAACCCTACAAGTTCTGCTGGAAGGGAAAACGCACAAGTATGGTAACGAGTAACTATTAGGTTGTCTAAGGAATACAATTAATGAGATAAAGCCATTCTGGCAGGATCAGAAAGTTGATTCAGGAACAAAATTCAGATAAGGAAATGGAAACCAGCAGCAAAAAGTTAATGGACTATCCTACAAAAAGGAAATAACTAGGAGTTAAGCATTACACTTGAGTACCAAGAAAGAAGCAGTGTTTAGGAAATAGCAAAGAATGATAGCAGACAGCAGCTCAGAGGAAAGGTACAGTAGGACAGTGAATGTGACATCAGGTAAATACACGCATGGGAGCTTTCTGAATCAAAACAGTTGTTACCAATCTTTCATCATTTGGTCACTTGATAATACTGGGCAAAGAATCAGAGTGCAAAAGGATAGAAAATAGTCAGGAGAAAGCTATGAATAGCTGACAACTTATGAGGATGTTTAAATGCAGCAGAAGCATATGGTAAAGCTGGGAAGCACAAGATCATCTGAGGTTAAGGAGACTGAGGAAGAGAGCAAACCTGAGCTACTGTTCAGCGCTACCTGCGAGTCAGAATGAATTGATAGCACGGCAGAAGCTTTTTTCAGGAAAGTAAAAAGCTAAAGATACTTAAACAGTGACCTCTAATGGACAAACCATATATTACTGCTATTTCCACTGAGCAGATACTCACAGGCTCCAAGTATATATCCAGATAACAATAAAAACGCTAGAACCTTTGAATGGATTCTCCAAGTGATCACAATATCAGTTAATCTACTATGTACGTAGGTCAAATAATTATTAGTCACTACCATAAAAAAACAACTTACAGCGTATTACTAAAATAAGTGAAAATAAACCACATCACGTTGGCCTACGGCCTAATAGCAGTACATGTACTGATGGCCAGCACTCCCCTACTGTCAGTGCTAAAATAATCTTTTAACATCCCACTCCTCTTTCTAGGCATGTTTTTCTGTGCTCGACTGGCTTGGACTGCAGTTAATCTGAAAAGCTTCTGAAAGAACTTCAAGCACACTTCCCATTCACAATGCAGTACAGTTTATCTTAACTAGCATTCCAATTAGGGATAATAAATGTGACTATACCTGGATGTGAAATTTTGTATGCACTAAGTAACCAGACAGTTCTTCACATTGGGCTAGCTGTCTGAAGTCTAGAATTTTCAGTACTATTTCATACTTAATGCTCAAGTAGTTCATAGATAGTGATCTGCAAGAAAAAACAAACTCAGGTAGTGCCTAAGCCACTACAGTTTGACTGTAGTGCCACTACAGGGTACAGTTTGAGAAAGCTCCCTTTAAAAAAGGAAGTTTCTTCATTGCTTTATTTCTTGTTTACAATCCCACTGGCATAAAGAGAACAACCAGTGAAGTCTAATCTGCCCTGCTGACTTCAGCTCCCTACTGCACAATCACCTTTCCATGCCCCAGAGGCAGCAATTCTATGAACCACTACATCCAGTCTTTTAAAAAAAAATGTAACACTACGAGCAAAGCTACTCAAACTTAATTTCCAGATTCTGTGACTACTTCGTCACATTTAACCAAATTAACCCATTACACTGAAGGGCTGTTGTTCAGCCCCCAATTTCCACAGATGTAAGTAATACTTTCAGGACCTTTTTTCCATTTTATTTTGATATTAGCCAGTGGGTTCAGGAGATGCCTGATCAGACCAGACAATCAATGCAGATTAGACCTGAACATGACAGTCTTGAATTTTGCTTCCCAGCTTTTCCATCTATACAGTAGATAAATGGCTTGGCTTTAGAAACCAGTAGATGATGGGAAAAAAAAAATTCTACTACAGCATATGGGTACAGTGGCCCATATGTCTAAGTTAAAAAAAAAAAAAAAAAAAAAAAAAAAAAAAGTACTTGCATTCTCCCTCTGCTTTCAACTGGTTCATTGCAGGAGACCTCAAAATGGAATCATCCCAGGTTTGTCACTTGTACAACAACTGGTCCAACACAACTGCAGAAACACTACTTGGCTTCCCCTACAATTTTGCTTCTGATTTTGAAGCTGTTCTGCCAAAAAAAAAAAAAAAAAAAAATTCTCAAGAAGCAGCAGAACCATGAATTTTACTCTTTCATAGGTTACCTGGAACAGAGGCAGCCAGTTCAAGGCTCCTCCATAAGCACAGCACCGAACAGGTGGCAAAAATCCAAGGCTTATAACCTCCAGAAAAATCCATGTGGATTTGAGTACTTCAAATAAAAAGTGATTTACAGACAGGTAAATGCAGAAGCACCAGCAGTATGAATGGTATACTAAAAACATTACTAAGAAAAGCACACATGATGGACTTCATAGGATAATTCTCATACTTGCTAATGAAACTTAACTTACTTTTAATAGTTTGCTGGCAAAAATATGAAATGCAGTTACATAAAACATGCATATTCAATTTTTACATATATTTATTCCTCTAGATAGACATATTTACTCTAAACAGCAGAAAAAACAGCAAGCAGAACACTCATTTAAATGGCAGAAAACTAGTAGAAGATGCTAATATGACCTTAGTGTAGCATGTCAAGTGTCAGTGCCACCTGCTTCCTAGACATTTTAAGAGCAATCTGCTAAGACAATTAATTACGTAGCTTAAAAGATTAGGTCAACAGTGTCAAATATGAAAATATGAACTTCAAATTTAGCCTTTTTAAAATGTGTGCTGCCTATTTAAGTGTCTATATCATTCTGTGAAAGAATAGGAACTTTCAGACACAGCGAGTTACTTCTCAGAAGTGGTTTTACCATCCCCTGAAATAAAACCAAACATAGACAGGTGGACAGTATTTCTAGGCTGAGAGAACAGATATTTTCTTGCAGCCTGTTGGTCTAAGGGCTACTTTAGAATAAAGAAGAAACTAAAAAAAAAAAAAAAAAAAAAATGAGATTTAACATAATGCAGTTGTAGAATACAGCAGCCCTTAAACCAGCATTTTGAAAATCAAAACTAATTCCAAAACAGAGGTCTAGCTTGACTTTTTTTTTTTTGAATGAAAAAAACCTGAAAGCATTCTTCTTGGACACCTCTTACTAACATATCTTCAGTCAGGTCTTCAGCCAAAATTTCTAACTAGGATATAGGTTAGTTACATAGCTTGCAGTTTTGGCACTTAAGCTGAGGGATGTCACTCTCTCTTCTGGCTCAATTCTCAGACATGCAAGTTTACCCTGACTGGAGTCTCACTGCAGGAGTTTCAGCCTGCCTTCTCCTCCTCAGAATTACCGTTAACTGCTATAAGCCCAACCAGCTGTGCATTCAGCTGAACTCACTCATCAACTACATTTAAGATTTGTAAGGTGTCATATGGAAGAGACAATCAAGTCCTCAGAAGTTTATTAGCATTCAGAAGTTTTAGAATTAAATTTAAAAAAGGGAAAGAATAGTCATATTTACTAAGAATAACAGCTCATTTTATCCCTGTGCCAGGCAGCACTCATTCAAAAGACATCAGAGCAGACAGCTGATAAGAACCAATTTCTGCCCAGCAGCACTAAGCATAATTCACTTAACCCAACTTCAGATGAGTCACCTGACCTTCTCTCACACAGGTTTTAGATAGAGGTGAGCAGAACAAAATGCTGTCTCAAGGTGCCCACAACCCTCTAAAAACTGCAGAACTAAAGTGGCTGAACTGAGAACTGCTACCTGCCTAACTTTAGGCAGCTTGAGGTCAGAGACATGCATCTCCTTACAGTGACCAGAGGGAACATAAAAGCCCCAGACTTGGTGGCCCAAGCTCCATCGGAGGCTGATAACAGATGATTCACAGCCAAAGGTTATAGTAATGTTTTCCCAAACCATTTTCTCAGTTTCTAGCTACTTGCAACTTTCTGACCTTATAAACTAGAAGTAGATCTGCGTGTTTAATAACAGTGTTTAACGTTTTCTTTTCCTGACATTGCTCATAAATTTCCTCATCACCTGTCATCTGCAAGTTAGGTAGCAGGAAATCGCTGGTCAAATTCATAAAGAAATCAAAGTCAAGAGGACACTATACAGCCAGGAGACCAGAGCCTAGAATACTTCATATTTCTCACTGGTGCTAAAATACCACCCATATTCTTTCATATTTCACACTACTCTGTGCAATCATTTAAGCTGCTCATGACTACTAAACTACACTAAACAACATCCAGAGAATCAGTGTTCACATGGTAGAATCCAATAATATTTTCACTTTCTTCATGCTTAATCCTCTTTGAACTTTCAAATCCTTAAACAAGATTTCCATATTAATACATACATTTCAAATAACAGATTGTAACAAGATAGCACAGCAATGACAGCAGAGTAGCAAGGTCCTAGGCTGCAGCAAGTGAGGACTTGCTCAAATACAACAGCCATGGACACAGAAAGGAAAAAAATCTGCTTACCCTTAGGAGGCCTCAGGTACACAGGGATCTCCAGCAAGATTCCCTCACCTCCACTGCCAACCCTTAAATGAGGTCTAGGAAGGGGTGGATCCCAGCTGCACCACTTCCATCACTCAGGGCACTGCATGCACCTGAGCTCTCCTGGCTTGGCCCTGCCTTCCTACCGGGTGCTCAAACGCTGGTTCAGGCCATGACTTAGCATTTCCCCTGCACGCATACTATCTTACAGCTCATGCAGCGAATTGCGGAGAATTTGACAGTTTTGATTGGTTGCTGCTTTTTTATTTTTCCTCCACCCTACTCTCAACCTGTAAAGCTTTTTCTGGGGATAGCCTGGTGTGAGCTACAGCAGCTGCCTAGTCTGCTCTCCAATACAAGCCCACTTGGGTAGTTCCACTCCTCTCTCCATTTCCACGCTCTTAAAAAATTAAAAAGTTTCAGAACAGTTTCAAAAAGAGAAGAGTGAGACATATGACACGTGCTGAGAACAGAGGACAAGCAGAACATCAACAAAACCAGGACTTTTCTTCTCTTTACAAGACACACCATAACAGGGACGAGATGAAACTCACTGCTTGTCTTTCAAAAGCCAAGTAGCAATGTTTGGAAAAAACAGACAGATAAGCCCGAAGCTTTCTCTTACAGAGAAATAATTTATTTTGCCTCACAAGAGAGAGTCTGTTTTCATGATATGATCTCCACCAACACCCCAATTGAGGCTAGGGGAAGTAGTATCCAGAGGGTAATAACTGAAGATGCTGTAGTGCAATACAATCAAGAGACAGTTTACACTCAAAAGATTAGTTGTTGTTGTCAATAAGACAGGTTGACTTTCATGCCCAAAGCACACATTCAGTTGGCCTTCATCACATACACTTAATTATAGATGTAACGCAGCTGAGTTGTAGTTTTCACTTGCTCCAGTCAAAGGAATTATCCACATCCTAAAAAGCAAACTGTTGTGTTGTTTTTTTTTTTTTGCTACAGCTCAAAAAAATTCTAAAGATAGAGAATGGATTTTTGACTACCTGGCACTAGTATGACAAGTTGACTAATTGACTCTAGTATGTGGAAAATTTGTTTTGAAGTGAGAAAGAAATGTTGAATATGACTGCTGGTTTATACCCTCAATGTTTTTTCTCTTAAGTGCTTTACCAACACCAGTCTCTAAGTAGTGACACTCTATAAAAAACACACTAGTAGCAGCAGCTTTTAAATACTGCTCTGCAGCTGCAGTGAAGTAGGAAGTAGAATACTTACTTGTAAGCTTGTTGTGACTCAAAACCAGCTGTGTGATATGAGACAAGGTAACTGTAAATGAAGAGAGAAAAAAAATCAGTTTATGAACAGACATAGCAACTGAAAGCTTGCATTCATTTCAGCTAAAAAACCCCATGAGTTACTCTCCCCAGTTAAGCAATTCCAGTTCATATGCATGAATACAAAAACCAAGACAGGCTCACGACTTGGGGAGGCATTGAGCCCCTTCTCCATTCCTTTACTCCTGTCTCTGTTTCTTCACGAAGCACTGTTAACACAAGTGGTACCCTGCCTCCCTGAATAAGCCTGACTCCACACACACTCCTACAGGATGTGTACAGGAACGCCTTTTTCATTTCTGTCTTTCAAATCCTACCCAAGAAAGAACCAACAGATTAACATTTACCCAAACAGCAACATGACATACATCACATCTCCCCATCCCCTATTCAATATCTTCAAGTCCCAAGTAGCAATAGCAGTATTTACAGCCCTTCACTCATGAAGCAGTTTTACACACTTGATTGAACTAGACAAACCTCCTTTACACCTTTACTTGCAGTGCTGTCTCTCCAGAACAGCCCTAGAAGTGATACAGCTGCCTCATGGAACAAAGGCATCCTGGTAAGTATGTATGAGAACTGGTCATGCTAACACGTACTTCCTACTTTGCAAGTTTGAGAGGACCACTGTAACAGTAAAGGAACCACTTCCCAGCAATGTGCTTTGTGCTGCTTCAGGCAACCCTTAAACTCGTAACACAGGCAGAGGTAATCTGACAGCAGAACAAATGCAATCACCCAAAGGCAGAAACAGAACAGAAAGTTCAGGGTAAACTCAAAATGGTTTGACACAGTTTCCCCTGCAGCTGCAGGCTGGGGAGGAAGGAAAGGCTGGGAGCAGAAAGGAAGAAACAGTGCACCCACCCCAAACTTCTCTTAAAGAGAAAGCACATGAGTGCTGCTGCAACAGCTCACTAGGAGAAGGAGGGAAAAAGGGTACAGCAGCCTCAAAGATTGGAACCAAACGTAGGGAAGCCTGTTATTAGCTCCACATCCTTCAGATGCAGACTTGATATTCTCAGTTCCTATTATCAAGCCCCTTATGCACAGCAGTGTATTTCACACATCACTCTCTGAACTTTGCACTTAAAATCACCAGTCCCCATTACATGCCTTTTAATATCAGAGTAGACTAACCCAAGTCCTCAAGGAAAGGCTCAAGTTTAGGCACCAGTACTATACACTTCTCTTAACTCTTTTCTGTGAGCCACCTCTTCTGTGAGAAGAATGTAACTTCAATGAATGATAGTTCGTTAACGTTATGGCCAGATACGGCCAAGTTTGCCAGCAGAAACTCTTAAGCAGAGCATACTTGAAGCACACAGATCAGAACAATTCAAATGGGCTTAAAGAAGGGGCTGGAATTTCCTGTCTGTGTACACAAGATTCAATAATTCAATACTCAACATACAAATAATTAGTATGGCTTTTAATTTGTGCAAGAAACCAGCTAAAGAGGAGAGATCACTGCACACAAGCCACTGAAGGAGAAAGTCCCTGAACTCCATTCAGTGCTGCATTCAGCAGCAAACAAGCAAGCCTCTGCTCAAACTGCTGAAGACTGAACTAAGGAACAAAGCAGTAAGAAAGGAAGAGTATTTAAACAGAGAACTGTGACAGACCCTGCAATAATACATGCTAATGCATTTGATGTTCCATGCCTGCCACTACATTATTTTTACCCATTGAAAGCGAATGTGCTTGTAAAGGGTCAATTAAGTTCTCAGTGTGCAGATCCAGATCTTCGGAGCATTGAACTCCTGAATTGATGCATGTTAAGAAGTTCTGTGCATATTCTGATTTTAAAGCTAGGACTGCTGACTAACCCCTCAAGGCACATGTACTGCTGGCCTCTAACAGCACAAGCATACAGGCACTACTCGCTGCTCTCTCCCCATTTGTCACACCTCTGTCTTCCTCAACCATGTTGTCAGTTTTCATAAGCATTTT